TATCAAGTAATAAACTTACATGACAGCACTCATAAAATTTGTAAAATCTGTTATTTTTTATTTTCAAAAAAAAAAAAAAAAAATTTTTTTATTACTATTCTTTTCATCATTTACTTAACAAACAAACAAATCAATAATTAGTTAATTACCTTCAACAGGACCAACTTTGATTTTATCAATTTCACTTAACAACAATTTGCTAAACTGTCCCCATAAAGTGTCGGGTATATAAGCACGAGAGCAAGCTGAACATTTTTGACCTTGATATTCAAAAGCTGCACGAATTGTCTGATGAACAGCATTCGGAACATTCGCTGACTTATGCACCAAATGATAATTTTTACCACCAGTCTCTCCAACGATTCTTGGATATGATTTATAAATGTCAATATTATTACCAATTTCCTTCCACAAGTGTTTAAAAACAAAAGTTGATCCAGTGAAATGTAATGAAGCAAACTCTGGTGATTTCAGTACTTGTTGAGTAACTTCCACTGGTTGGCCAGGAATCCATTGTATGACACCATCAGGAAGTCCTGCTTCTCTAAGTATCTCCAATACTATCCAATTTGATAAAACGGCATTTGGGGAAGGTTTCCAGAGTACAACATTGCCCATTAAAGCTGGTGCACCTACAAGATTAGCACCAATTGCAGTGAAATTAAATGGTGTAACAGCATAAACAAATCCCTCAAGTGGTCTATACTCTAATCTGTTCCATACTCCTGGTGAATTTTTAGGTGGTTGTTGTTGATATATTTCTTGTGCATATTGACAATTAAATCTCCAAAAATCAATTAACTCTGCTGCTGCATCTATTTCTGCTTGCCTTTCATTAAAAAATGAATACATAAAATAAATAAAATATAATTTATCAACTTAAAATTTTTTCTAAAACAAAAAACAGCATAATTATATTATTACCATGAATTTTTACCCTGGCCAAGCATAGTAGCAGCCATTAGTTTATATCTGTATTTGTTAGCAACTAAATCAGCAGCTTTTAAGAATATAGCAGATCGATCAGTAAATGATAAAGTTTCCCAAGTGTTTTTTTTGGTTGTTAGTGCACCCTCAATTGCTTGATTTATAAGTTCTGGATTTGCTTCATGAGTTTTTGCTAATACTATAGCATGATCTGTTGGAACTCTCTGTTCTTGAATATGGCCAGTAAAATGCTACATATATACATATATTTATTTATTTCAGTAAGAGTGATGATGATGATGATGATGATGATGATGATGATTATATTATTATGATAATGAAGAAGAAGATGATAATGATGGTGATCAGGGAAAAGAAGGGATATGATGATAATTACAATGATGATAAAGATTATATGAATCAGATTATTATTATTATCATTATTATTACCTTTTTACCATTTATAAAAACAGGAATTTCTATTGGAACCTGAGCCTTTAATTCATCTAAAGCTTCAATAAGCTTGGCTCGATCAACACTACCAGGTTGATAACTTCTCTATTATAAACATCAATTAAAATTGGATCAATTGTTTGTTTAATTGATTTAGGTTTGATAATAATAATAATAAATTTTTTTTTGTAAGATAATTAAATAAATAAACTTACCAATGGTTCATTATGAATTTCTGGTATTTTAAAAGTTCCAAGTATAGCAGACATATTAAGTTAAAAAGTATTGTAATTAATTTGTATAAAAAATTTTTTTTGATCAAAAATTTTATTTCCAGCCTACTTATACTTTTAATAATTTCAGGGGGGGCTTCTCTTACTTTCATAAAAAATTAGATGTTTCATATAAAATCTGATTAAATTGGTAAAGATTGATCAGATTATTTATTCCCACGAATTAATTACTGATGAATGATTTCATTCTACATATATGTTAATAATATGCACGTTAAATTTTGTATGCATGAATAATATTTTAGAAAAAAACTTTAATAATTAAAGTTTCTAATCTAATCTTATGAGGCAACGAAAATAAAATAGTAGTCGTGTGACATGTCCTAAAAATCAAGTACAAATTACGAGGGGCAAATTTATTTTCCGAAAAATTTCCGATGATCTACACAATTTTTTTATTAATAAAATTTCGAACTGAATGTCTTCATACCTCGTTTTATACCCTTTCCGTGTAGCAATTGCCACCAAATTTGATATATAACTTATTTGTCATATGTATCTGCTTTAAGAAGCAAGTTGTTAATAAAACCGGAAATAATCTCAGCCTTAAAGTCAAATTTTGACTGTATTCATATATATATATATGGGGCATACTGCAACAAAACCAGACAAAGTGAACATTGGTATTACCAAAGATTTCAGGGATCAAAATTTAG